ATAAAGGAAACTTATGAATGGTACTGGAAAACAAATGTACAGTTACCAATACATATAATGTAAAGAACACTATTCATGTGTTTGATAACACTTAAGATATAGAAAGAAACTATAGTTCACAGGTTGTTTCTTTTTTAAGGAGAAAAAGGAGAAAAACACATTTTAAAAAAACTGTAGATAAACTTTGATGATAGTTCTTTGTATCACACATATCTTTTACTGTAGCATTGTGTAAAGGATACTTTGGCAGCGTAATGGGTTGGAGAGAGAGGTTGATTTGCCATTTCATATCACTTTTAGTTGTATATGAGTAAGGCCCAGGTTGAAATATGTTTGATCACTATGGTAAAATTTCAGTCACTTTGGTTTAGGATACACTAATCCCCTCCCCCCCCTTAAAAAAATATGAAAAAATGACTAAAAAAAGAGGACTATCCAGAATTGCTTTATTTTACAACAATAGAATGATAGACTTACTTTTGCTATACAAAACATGAGCACAAGTTATGACACCGTGCACCAATATTTTAAGTATTTAGAATATAGAGGGTTACAAATTATAGTATTTGCCAATATTCTAAGCATTATTATTGCTATTATTGTTATTGTGATTATTATTATTATAATGATAATTATTTTTATTATTATTATCATTATTATTATTATTGTTGTTGTTGTTGCAGTTATTATTATTGGTATTATCGTTAATATTGGTATTATCATTATTATCATTATTATTATCATTATTATCATTATATTATATTATTATTATTATTATTGCATTTTTTCCTTGCTATCCCCTGGTTCTGCTTCATATATTCAAATTTTGTGTGATTGAATACCTCAACTATTCTACTAGTTTTCTTGATTGTAAGTAATTTTTTTAAGCTAGCTTTAAATAACTTTTAAAAGTTGAATATACATTATTTCCAGGTATATCATGCTAAATGTCATCTTATTTTTAAGCCTCTTATCTGAATTACATCAATTTTGCATAGTTAAGAATATAGTTTTATGCAATCAGAATGGCAAAAATCCTTTCATGAATGCTCTTTATTGTACTACAACATATTTGTCATCAGTGTTCAAAATTACCTCCCTAGCTGTTGCATCACTGCCAGCATGACTTATTTCTGAGATTCATTGGAAAGTCTTTTTATTATGATTAGAATTTGTTACAATATAGCTCATTTTAAGTGGTTCATGCCAGAAGTCTGAAAGATCAGATCTCAAAACAAATACCCATATAAAATATCTTCTTTTAACTGATTCATATTCTTCTTTTGTGTCACAATTTATATTGAAATAGGCACACTTTTGTGGATTCTTCCTATCATCTAACATTCAGTTTCTTGTTGTGACCACAGCTTAGCTATTCCCCTTCCACTACTCAAGACATACATAGAAAAGGTATGAGGAAGATGCATGATGGAATAATGCAAAAATGCATTTTTGTATAGACATATAAATAACCTCCCTGATAAGGACTTGAACCCAGTCACTCAAAGTTACACCCAGAATGGGACGGAATCAATCCACTTAACCACAGTGCTTACTAAAAGAAGTTGCCCATCTACTCATGTTACATTACGATAGTTCTCATGAGCATCCTTTGGAAGTGATTCAGAAATTCAAATCCAGACTAGCTCTATAAACATTCTATAGCCATTCATAACACCAGAGTAATGGTTTTACAAACAATTCCCTTTCATATTCAATGGAAACGTTTCAGTATTTCAAATGCAGTGCCAGGTAACTGAGGTTTTTTGGCATGGTCAATGGAATAGTGCAGAAATGCATTTTTATACAGATATGTAAATAAACCTTCCTGTGTAAGTGTATTCTTCCATTGTACATATAGAAAAAAAGCTTAGTAACATGGCACTGTATCTGAAATCCTGAATCACTTCAATTGAGTACCAAAAGAAGTTGTCTGTAAAACAATCACTCCAGTATGAATGGCTACACAAAGTTTATTGAGCTAGTCTATATCCTGTTTAGTGGTTCAGTGGTTCAGTTCCATTCTCTGTGGATGTTACTTTGAGTGAGTGAATTCAGGTACTTGTCGGAGAGGGTATTTACATATCAAACATTTTGATAGTACACCTTTATTAAAATAAACAGTTCTGAAGAGTATGTAAAATTGAAGTAACAGTTTATATCTTGTATTGTGTAATGATTCATTCCCATATATGCTATCTCTACATTTCTTACAGTAACTCTTGCTCACAAAACATTCTTGGACCAAGTCTGCTAAGGGTGTCATAACATTACTGGAAGTACTCTGAAACACAAACAGTAATTTCTGTATAAGTTCTGCTTTATTTTTTGCTACTATTTATTAGAGAACTTACTGATAACTGGAAATTCCTCATTGCCTATGATTTTAGCAGTATCAGCGCACACACACACACACAACACACACACACACACCACACACACACACACACACACACACACACACACACACACACACACACACACACACACACACACACGCACACACGCACACAAATCCATCCATGACTGGGATTAGTTGTTCCACTGATTGAAAATAAAAACAGCATTATTCTAGCATTATTCTAAGTAAATGGCAGCTGTTATTGGCCTATTTGTATTATGAATATATAAAATTAATGTTAATTGTTATATGTGCAGTAGAATACCTTCTCCAGAACTTTCAATAAACTGATTTACAATTACACAAATGTGAATGAATGTAAAAGAAATGTTGAAAACATTTAATGAATTATTATTATCATGCTAGAAGTAATAATAAAACAGATAGCATCTTCTTCATTGGGTATTGAAAGTTGAGGCAATTAATGTTTTAAAATAGTTTGAGGAAAAATAATTCACATAATCTGAATCTCTAATTATACTACATATTAGTTTAAGGGACTAGTTACTGTAAATAGAGTGTAAGTCAAATAAAAATTGAATAATAATTGGGAATTTCATGCCTTCATAACTGAGATACAATCAGTATTAGTAAAATATATACTGACATACTTATCTTTAGCTATTAGATCTATAAAGAGATGACCTACAGAAGGAAACATATGTCATAAATAGAATATTTCGTGTAGAATTATTAATTCATGACCATTTTTTAGATGATTCATTGAAGAAGATGCTATGAGGAATAAACACATCTTTGTACACATACATGCACCTGTGCGCACATGCACATATGCGTACACACACACACACACACACACACACACACACACACACACACACACACACACCACACACACACACACACACACACACACACACACACACACACACACACACACATCAAAGTATGTTACTGATATATAAGATATATAAGAAAATAGATAATTGATGTATAACTCATTATGATAGTTGGTTCTAATTACGTGGTTATCTAATTTTAGATGGTAAACATTTTGTCAAACAGTAGCATATTTAACTACACTAGATTGTGGGAAACCCCTCAGTTAATGCACAGACAATATTTATATATGTAATTTTGATAACAAGGGATTTTTGTGCCCACATAAAATATAAGTATAACTTGCAGAGAAGGCACAGGTATGAAATGGCTCACAAAGCATTGACATATATGTATGTCTGTATGTATGTATGTACACACACACACACACACACACACACACACACACACACACACACACACACACACACACACACACACACACACACACACACACATATATGTGTGTGTGTGTGTGTATGTATATGTATATGTATATATATATATGTATATATATATATATATACTATATATATATATATATATATATAATACTATATATGTATATATATATATATATATATACTATATATATATATATATATATATATATATATATATATATATATATATATATATATATATATATATATATATACATGTCAAGTCCCACTTTACATTGGAATTTATAAATTTTGTTTTGTTCTGTTTTTAATCAAGGGTCTGCTTGCCCCTCCGGAACAAAAGTTAGTTGTCAAAGACTTAGCTTAAAATTCTTTTGATTGTATCATATCTTTGTTCTTTATGATTTTAATTAATCACACTCCAGTATGCACTAGTTGGTAATAAGTTGTAAATAAAACTTAGAAAGACAGTTACAAAACCAAATGAATGTATTTGACAAAAATGGCCACAGTACTGCCTAGTAAGTAATGGGTTTACAAAAAAAAAAAAATGTGTAGGTTTAGTTTTACGTCGTTACTTTATGCATATTGTATTGAATTATTCTTTGTGAGATAAAACACTTTCTGATGATTATGAAGTATTGACTGCATAGAGTATAACAGTGAATGAAAATTAATATTGTTTTCATTAGTTATTTATATATTTACATGTTGGTGATTTAGTTAAAAGAATAACTACTCTTCATTATTATAATATTTATGAATATGTTTAAACCATTATGTATTTATGCAATATTGCTTGTTCAATTACTTTGCCATTGAAATTATTGTCTTGCTTTTATATGTGTTTTTTTCTTCTTTTTCTTTTTTTTTAATATCAAATGGGAGCATTGCTTCAGCCATATGGAAAATAGCAAAAAAGAATGTTATGATAAGGATAAATTATGATAATGGTTAGGTGACCTGAATAAGATAGAATAACTCTTATTAGATAGCGGGGGAATGAAAATGCTGCCTGAAGTACCTCTATTACCATTCTCCTTGTTATTGCTTATTACACATTTACAGTATAAGGTTTGATAGTGTTAAATAATACTATAAAATATGGACCATGTATA